TGCCCAGTAGTGGTCTCGCTGGGTCATGTGGTGGTTTTATGACTAGTATTTTAAGGAGTCTCCGTACTGTTCTCCATAGTGGCTTCACAATTTACATTCCCACCAATGGTGCAAGAGGTTTCCCTTTTCTCCCACATCCTCTCCAGCATTTATTGTTTGTAGATTTTTTTGATGGCCATTCTGACCTGTGTGAGGTGACACCTCATTGTGGTTTTGATTTGCATTTCTCTAGCAATTAGCAATGCTAACCATTTTTTCATGCATTTATTAGCAATCTCTATGTCTTTGGAGAAATGTCTATTTAAGTCTTCTGCCCATTTTTGGGGTTGGGACAAAAACAGAAATATAGACCAATGGGTAATATAGAAAGTTCAGAGATAAACCTGCATGCCTATGGATGCTTTATCTTTGACAAAGGAGGCAATAATATACAATGGAGAAAAGATAGTTTCTTCAATTTGTGGTGCTGAGAAAACTGGACAGTTATGTGTAAAAGAATGAAATTAGAACAGTTCCTAACACAATATACAAAGATAAACTCAAAGTGAATTTAAAAACCTAAATGTAAAAGACCAGAAACTATAAAATTCTGGAAGGAAATATATACAGAACACTCTTTGATATAAGTCACAGCAAGGTCCTCTTTGGCCCACCTCCTAGAGAAATGGAAATAAAAACAAAAACAGACAAATGGAACCTAATTAAATTTAAAAGTTTTTGCACAGCAAGGAACACAATAAAAAAGATTAAAAGACAACTTCAGAATGGGAGAAAATAGTTGCAAGTGAAACAGCTGACAAAGGGTTCATCTCCAAAATATATAAGCAGCTAGTATAGTTCAATATCATGAAAGCAAACAACCTAATCAAGAAAATGAGCAGAAGACTTAAACAGATATTTGTCCAAAGAAGATATCCAGATGGCCAATAAACACTCAGAGGTTTTATTAATTTGATGTCTCTGTTTAGTTCTTTGGCTCAAGATCCTGCAGTGATACAAAGCAGAATTGTGTACTGATAGGAAAGGCAGAAAACTCTCTCCCCTCTGACAACTTCTCATGGACAGAACAAATTGGGATGCAGGAGACAAAGTGGGTAGGAGAGGCCATAAATTTGATAAAGTCCCTTCTCAGGGTACATAGAATAACATTCAAGACTGAGAAGGGAGAGGGAAAACTTGGAACCACACTCTGTTATCACTGCAAGGATTGTGCTGTATTAGAGAACTTTGGAGTCTAACCTGAAAATTGTGATATGATGCTCTGACAATATCTAACTAAATGTTGCTATGTTCTTCTTAAAAGGGCAGATTTTATTTGTTCTAGTTACTTATTTTTTCAGGAAATTATCAAAATTTGTGTCAAACTGAAAACTCTGTCTCAGGGATGGTTATATAAATGTTCATTCACATTTTTAGTTTTGTCTGGGGGTACTTCAACTTTTCCCCCACCTACATAGCTCAGGTTTGAGTTGCACAGAGCCCTAGACATACAGTGAATTTTCTCATTAGAGTTTGATAGAATTGTGATGTGTTTCAATCCTGTGTGAAGCAGGAGTGTTCATCATCCAGACCCCCAGCCATTTCTTATTCCCTGGAGGCTGTTCTTGGCCTGGCCTTATGGAATCTCACCTTAATAGGTACGGTTTAGAAGTCTCTGGGCCTCTCAAGCAGCATTCAGGCTGTTGTGCAGTCACTGTGTCTGCTTACCTGCCTCCACTCCAGTTCCCAGCTCCACATATTCCAGGCACCTTGGTCCTTCCTGGTCTGACTTGGTGTCTTCATCTTTACCTGACTATTGTGGTCTCCATGTGCCCACCATCGTCTCATGTGAAGGACTGTTAACTGTACCCCTTTACTCACACCACAGCCCAGTGCTCTCAATCATAAGATACCTGAAAACCCTCACTGTGTGTATGTCCTGTTTGTTCTCCAATTTTACAGTTATATTAAATATAGTTGGTTCTGCCTTTTTCTACCCCTATCTTGCCCCTTTTCCCTTCCCTCTCTCCATAGGTAATCACTAGTCTGATCTTCATACCTGTGAATCTGCTTCTGTTTTGTTATATTCATTAGCTTTATTTTTCCAAATATGTAGTGTACAACTACACCTAAAACTAAAAGATATACCCATTTGAATCCAGACTTCCAAAGGATACCAAGGAGAGATAAGAAAGGGTTCCTCAGTGATCAGTGCAAAGAAATAGAGGAAAACAATAGAATGGGAAATACTAGAGATCTCTTCAAGAAAATTAGAAATATTTCATATAAAGATGGGCTCAGTGAAGGACAGAAATGGTGTGGGCCTAACAGAGGCAGAAGATATTGAGAAGAGGTGACAAGAATACACAGAAGAACTGTACAAAAAAGATCTTCATGAAACAGAAAATCACGATGATGTGATCACTCACCTAGAGCCAGATATCCTTTAAGGTGAAGTCAAGTGGGCCTTAGGAAGCATTACAACGAACAAAGCTAGTGGTGGTGATCGAATTCCAGTTGAGCTATTTTAAATCCTAAATGATGATGCTGTAAAAGTGCTGAACTTAACATGCCAGCAAATTTGGAAAACTCAGCAGTGGCCACAGGACTGGAAAAGGTGTTTTCATTCCAGTCCCAAAGAAAGGCAATGTCAAAGAATGCTTAAACTACTGCACAGTTGCACTCATCTCACATGCTAGCAAAGTAATGCTCAAATTTCTCTAAGCCAGGCTTCAACAGTACATGAAGCATGAATTTCAAGATGTTAAAGCTGGATTCAGAAAAGGTAGAGGTACCAGAGATGAAATTGCCAACATCTGTTGGATCATCAAAAAAGCAGAAGAGTTCCAGAAAAACATATACTTCTGCTTTATTGACTATGCCAAAAACTTTGACTGTGTGGATCCCAACAAACTGTGTAAAATTCTTCAAGAGATGGGAATACCAGACCACCTTACCTGCCTCCTGAGAAATCTCTATGAAAGTCAAGAAGAAATGGACATGGAACAACTGGCTGGTTCCTAATCGGAATGGAGTGAACTGCCAGGCTGGATGAAGCACAAGCCGGAGTCAAGATTGCTGGGAGAAATATCAATACCCTCAGATATGCAGATGACACCACACCTAAGGCAGAAAGTGAAGAACTAAAAGGCCTCTTGATGAAAGTGAAAGAGGAGAATGAAAAAGTTAGCTTAAAATTCAATTTTCAGAAAACAAAGATCATGGCATCCAGTCCCACCACTTCATGACAAATAGATGGAGAAACAATGGAAACAATGAGAGACTTTAATTTTCTGGGCTCCAAAATCACTGCAGATGGTGACTGCAGCCATAAAATTAAAAGACATTTGCTCCTTGGAAGAAAAGCTTTGAGCCAACTAGAGAGCATACCAAAAAACAGAGACATTACTTTACCAACAAAGGTCCATCTAGTCAAAGCTATGATTTTTCCAGTAGTCATCTGTGGATCTGAGAGTTGTACCATAAAGAAAGCTGAGCGCTGAAGAATTGGTACTTTTGAACTGTGGTATTGGAGAAGACTCTTGAGAGTCCCTTGGACAGCAAGGAGATCCTAAAAGAAATAAGCCCTGAATATTCATTGGAAGGACTGATGCTGAAACTGAAACTCCAATACTTTGGCCACCTGATGCAAAAAACTGACTCTTTGGAAAAGACCCTGATGCTGGGAAAGATTGAAGGTGGGAGAAGAAGGGGACGACAGAGGATGAGGTTGTCAGATGGCATCACCGACTCAATGGACATGAGTTTCAGTAAACTCCGGGAGTTGGTGATGGACAGGGAACCACATGTTGCAGTCCATGGGATGGCAGAGTCTGACATGACTAAGTAACTGAACTTAACTGAACACCTAAAACCTATATAAAGTTGTAAATCAACAACACTTGCTGAAAAAGCAAGCATATCCAAATGTCCCTTATTTTCCTGATTTCACTTCCTCTCAATTGGTTTTCATTCCTTCCAAAACATAAACCTTTGATATTTGGACATAAAGCCCATTGTATATTGCTTTAAAAATAAATGGTGGATTATATTTTAAAGCCTCCATGTAAATGTGAATATTTACAATCTTATCTCTGAATATTTTCATAACCCCAACTCCATTCAACTTTTCTTAAAATATGGGTTTAGTGATCTTTATCTGGCGTTTCTGATTTTATGTGTCTGAGATAGACTCTGGTCACACCTCTATCCATTCAGAGTTAGAGAACAGATTTTAGTGTAAGCTCACTGATCAAAAACTATCAGAAAACATAACAGAATTTGTTTGGAAAAGAGATTGCTTTTGTAGTGATATAAAGAAATCTGAAAAAGATTGTTCATTGAATGTCCATTGTCTCACAATAAAATCCATGTATTACTTTGAGTAATGAGATGGAAAATCTTAAATTGACTATGCTTTCATGTTAATATCAAAATTGCATGCTTATAATAAATTCAAAACATACAAAGTGTATTAATTTGAATAAAATTATCAGTCATATTTTGTTTAGCATTCATAATATAAATTCATTTTTACCATATATTTTTCAATCAAACAATATTAAGACAGAGAAGGTAGTTTTATTTTAAAGATAATTGGTATAACTTTGTTAAAAAGTGTAAAAATTAATTTAGCCATCTCTAATTACAATTCTTCAAGATGTAGTTATCTACTATGTCCATATATACCCAGGATAAAAAGAAAAGGAAACCAAATAATAAGATCAACTTGCTTCTTTCATTTATAGATATTTCTCTGTTCAAGTTTAATTATTTCTTAGCATATCTCTCCTGACTCCTGGAAACATTTCTTTTGACCTAGATAACTGAGAACTTAGCAAACTTAGAGAATATGCTTCATTTCTATATTTATCTCAGAACTTCAGGAGTCTCCAATTATTTTTTAAATCACCATTTTCTAGAAAGAGAATCATATTTAATTTACAGGATTAGTTGAGAACCTATAAATCACTCATCTAATCTCAGCTTTCTACAACCAATGCCAGTCTATCTTCATTTATCTATAGAGTTTTAAAGCTAGAATGATTTAAAGAACAGCATGTATTTCTAATAAACATCTTCAGTGCAGCTTTCACATCATTGTTCCTCAGGCTGTAGATCATAGGGTTCAGCATGGGAATCACCAGTGTATAGAACACTGAAGCCATTTTATCAACACCCATAGAATGGTTAGTCTGAGGCTGCAAATACATAAAAAGTAGAGTTCCATAGAAGACTGACACTGCTGTCATATGTGAAGCACATGTGGAGAAGGCTTTTTTCCTTCCTTCTGATGAATGTATCTTTAGAATGGATAGAACAATGTTGAAATAAGATGCTACAACGGTACTTATGGAAAACGCCAAATTTGTAGATGCAGATATAAATATTACTGCTTCTGGAACTGAAGTATCAGAGCAAGACAATGCTAACAGAGGGACGGTATCACAGTAAAAATGATTGATTACATTGGAAGAACAATAAGTCATAGAGAATACAGAAGATGAAGTCACAATTGATGTGCAAAAGCTATAGAGGTATGTGAGGGAAACCAGCAGAAAGCAGATCCTCCGAGACACCACCGCCATGTAGAGCAGGGGGTTACAAATGGCCACATAGCGGTCATAGGCCATCACAGCTAACATGAGCACCTCAGCTATGATGAAAACCAAGAACCCTCCGAGCTGAATGGCACATTCATAGTAGGAGGTGGTGTGTTTCTTTACTAAGAAGTTGATCAGCATTTTAGGAGCAATGACAGTTGAATTACCAAGATTGATGATGGCCAAGTGCCTGAGGAAGAAATACATGGGGGTCTGAAGTCGAGAGTCCACACTGGTGAGGGTGATGATGCTTAGGTTGCCTGTCACGGTCAGTCCATAGATGACCAGGAAGACAAAGAAGAGTGGGATCTGGAGGTCTGGACGTTCTGAGACTCCTGTGAGAATAAACTCAGTGACTCGGGTGAAATTTCCATGAGCCATGTAAGAGTTTGAAAAGCTATCTGCTTGAAGAAAAAAAGAAGTAGTCACAAACTTTATGGGATTATTTTCCAAGACTGTTATTAGATGACAAAAGTAATCCTTTGATGAGATCTCCTATTCATCTCAGTTATTAAACTCAAAGTTCTAGGTCTAGTAAATCAATTTTGCAATCATTTACTGAAGAGAAGAAATGGGTATGGCAAATTAAACAGATGATCCAGTGTAATGTATATTTTGAGAATTTATTTTCTTGTAATCTTATTAAATTATGACTGTTTTAGTAGCTTAAAAATTAGAACAGAGATTCCAATCTGATGCCTCTTGAACAGAGTGTGAGGAAGATATGACGAATTGCAAGTTTCCTAATAATTCAAGATTTCCCAGGTGGCTTAATGGTAAAGAATCTACCTGCCAATGCAGGATATGCAAGAGACAGAGGTTCTATCCCTGGGTTGGGAAGATCCCTGGGAATAGGAAATGGCAACCTGTTCCAATATTCTTGCCAGGAAAATTCCATGGACAGAAGACCCTGGTGGGTGACAGTCCTGGTGGGGGCACAGAGTCAGACATGACTGAGTGACTAAGCACACGAATAATTTGTCATCTATTCTTAATTTCTTAATCTGAGATTTCTTGCTTTTTCTTAAGAATAGATAATTTGGCCAATACTCTACCCCTTTTCATTTATACTGTCTTTCTATAGCTTCTATTTGGTGTATATTGAACTTGCAATTTTGACTATCTATTTCTGTTAAACTCTTTGCTCATTTTTCACTTTATTACAAAAAAAAAATGGAGACATGTTCTCAGATCCATTCTTCACATCAACTATTCTCTTTTCAGGTTTAAAAATTTTTTCTCCTTGAAAATGTTTTCCTCCCTATCATAGCTCTTTTCCTTCTTGCCCACAAGTTGATGCAATTCCTCATATTATTTCAATGTGCTATTATTTTTAACCATTATTTTTTATTTATACAATTTCATAATGTTATTTTTTGAATTATGTAATACTTCTGAACTCAATTTTAGTTCATCACTTTAATGATATTTTATCAGATTTTTTATATTTTTTCATCAATGCAATAATAATAAACATCCTTTTATAGAACTTCTATGGTAATTTCATTGCATATATTTTCTAAAGGATCTACATGAGATTAAAATACAACTGAATGTTTTGCTAGAGATATTTGAAAGGTGGTATTTGACCTCACTAAGTTGAGCTTTTTCTCAATAACAATTGATATCTAGCTGGGGGCACCTGACACAAAGAAGTCTGTTCATAGTCTCTAATCCGAGGACTTGGAGAGAATTTGTAGATGGCCAAAGCTACATGATCAATTAACATAAGATTTACCTTTTAGCAACAATTAACATATATATATATGTATATATACATATGCAATATATTACTAATAATTAATAAAATAGCAGGAAGAAATTTTTGTAGATGGTGAATATGCTTATGGCATAGATTGTGGTGATGATTTCACTGATACACACATACCTTCAATCTCATCAAGTTGCATACATTAAACATGTAGAGTTTTTTGCATGTCAATCATAATTCAATAAAGTGTTTTTTAAATCTATATATGATAAATATGTGACTTTATTTTTTTTTAATATGTGACTTTAAAAAGACCAGAACTGTTGACATTTTCTCTTCTAAACAAAATTAAAACAAAAACTCTACAGTAAGGAAAAAAAAAAAGTTGTGACAATGAAAAAGAATCAGAGATATAAGACCAAGATTACTTCTAATATTGTTGAATATTTTATACTAGTTTATTTCTTACACCAAACATTCTCTTTGGTTCCTTGAATCATTTTCTTATTTACCATGTATTTGTTGATTTTCTACTTTTGTCAGGAAATAGCCAAGCTTCAGTTGAATTACTTGTCCCTTACCTCATGGGCATTCTATTCCAATAATAAGGAAGAGAGAAAGGACTGGTAACAAAATATATAAAGAAGAAAACTGTAGAATATATTCATTTTAATAAGAAGAAGTAACAAAATATACATTAGGATAACCTGAGAGAATTATTTCACACAAGATGTTAAGAGAAAACCTTTTTGAAACATGACATTTGAACTAAAACTAAACGATGAGGAGGAACCAACTTTTGAATGAATCACCGGAAGAACATTCCAGGATTCCAATTTCCTGAAGATGTTGTTTTGGGGTAGAAAATAACTATTTTTTTCCTGTCTGTTTTTATAGCAAAACTTAATGGAGCCAGTGTGACTAAATAATAATGAGGAAAAGGGGACAGTAGAATCATATAATATAGATCACAGTAAATAGTTGGATTTTATTTTAAGTGAATTCCAAGGCATTAGTAAGTTTGAAGGTAGTTAGGGAACATGACCAGTTTTAAACTTTAAAAAGATAACTCTTGCTGTTATGAAAATAATTACATAATTGAAAGGAGTTAGAAATCATGAGTACAAATTTAAAAGTGAGTAAGCAGTTGCTATAGGATTCCTGGTGGAAGATAATGCACCAAAGTAGAGAAATGGAAATAGAAGATGGTACATTAACAGTTGAGAGCAGAAACAAGAAAGTATCAGCAACATAATTAATTGTGTGTGTTCTGTGAGAAAGAGATGAGGGAATGACACTGAGATTAGGAACAAAAAGTACTTTTGCAATTTTTTTTGTGACTGGATCAAATATGGTTTTTCAAATATTTGGGGTTATGATTTAAGATGGAGTGATGAAAGTGATATTATGAACTTATTAAACTTTAGGTGTTTATGAGACATTTAAATATTAATTTAGTCAGGCTACTATGTAAGTCTGGAGCATATATGGTACGTTAGACTTGCAAATATTTAGGAAATGAGCCCTAATGATCATATGATATTTTTTCATCTATTTCAAGATTTTTTCATCTACTTCAAGTTTTTTTTTTTTTTTTACTTTAATTGTAGCATAACTTCCCAATAGGTTTCTCAGTCTACCTGTATCCTTTTCCACTAAGGACAACGCTCTCTTTTGAGATTCTAGCTTTTCTTTTTTCCTGTAACACTGCACTACAGGATGTTCTTTCTGTGTCTCTCATGCCTCTTATTTTTCTGAAGAAAAAAATATTTTTATTGAAGTATAGTTGATTTGGACTTCCCAGGTGGCAGAGTGGTAAAGAATTTGCCTACCAATGTGGGAAACTTGTATTTGATCTCTGGGTTGGGGAGATCCCCTGGAGTAGGAAATGGCAACCCACTCCAGTATTTTTGTGTGGAAAATTCCATGGACCTTGTCTATTTTTTAAATTTTGATTTCATGTGATAAAATATGTAATATGACATCTGCCCCATTAAATAATTTATGAACAAACAGTACAGTATTGTAAATTATAGTTAAATGCTATAGAGTAGATCTCTAGATTTTATTCACCTTCCTTAACTGAAACTTTATATACCTGTGGACTAGCAACTCCCTGTATGGTCCAACTTCCAACTTCTGGGCATTTATTGAAAATAATTTCAATAAGGATATTAAAGAGGTGGTGATACATTGCCAAGTTATTTTTTTTTTTTTTTTTTTTTTTAGGAAATGATATGTCTGCTTATAGATGCAGATTCTATTCCTGCAGGGTCAGAAAGATACCCTGGAGGAGGAAATAACAACCCACTCCAGTCTTCTGGCCTGGAAAATCCCATGGGGGCTACAGTTCATGGGGTCCCAAAGAGTCAGACACAACTGAGCATGTATGTGTGCATGAAAGCAGACAAGATACAAAATGGATGCAAAGGGATGACTGCGTTTTGAATCTTCAGAATTGCTGATGGTAGTTAGAAATTATTTGGGGTTAAAGTCATTCTCCAAAACTCTTAAAAAATCATCCTATATTTACCAGGCTACTTGCTCAATTTGTAAAATATTTTCTAAAAAAAGAAAAAGAAAAAGAAAAAAATGGTCTATGTTTTTAGCAACTGGTAGAGAAAATGAATGAATAACAATCTTCAAGTTTATGCCTGGGAGTTGATTCTTATATATAACAACATGCATATCTTTAAATTAAATTATTTTCAGTTTATAAAATAGTTCATGGGTGACACAATATTTTAAAATATTCTTTTTAAAATATTGAATTGGGTACATTAATGAAAAAGCCAAATGCTACATGAGGCTAAATACTAAAAAGTATTTGTTATTGATCTGAAATTTAAATGTAGCTGAATATCCTGTATTTTATCTGCAAACTCTTACCTTACTGGATTCTAATTGTTAGATTGGTGATGATCTGTGTACTCCTTCTGCACTTGCAATATCCAAATGCAGCTTTCAACTTTCACAAGTCAAATAGATATAGGACATGCAGTCAATTCATGGGATTTTAATGCCTTAAATACCATACTATTTCAGGGAAACCAGTTAAAAAAGGAAATAATGAAATTCCTATGACATAAAGAATGATCTGTCAGTGGCCATAAAATTGTCTTTAGTCAGAATCTAAGAATTAAGGTGAATTACCCAACATTAGGTGATAATCGAAATCAATAGCAATGCTTATCTACTCACATTTAAAGAATAATTGCATTTGCTGCTCTCAAGTTTCTCTGACTTTTCTCAGAGTTAGGAGAATTTATGCTTTTCTTCTCTCTTTCTAATGTTCCTTGAGAAGTAGAGAATTTATGCTTTTCTTCTCTCTTTCTAAGTTCCTTGAGGAAGTTCCTTGAGGTATTTATTGAGACATTTTTGTTTAAATCATCTGAGAGATTAAAAAATTGTCTGTAGTTCCTGCTAATTATCCAAGATATTCTGCATATTCCCTAGTGAAAAAGTGTAAGGGGCAGTTTAAGGAAAGGAAGAAAACAACAGAAATGATCTGTACAGTTCCAAGGAGACCTCCAGCCATTTTTACGTGTTCATTCATTTACACAGACTCAATGACTATAGTAACAATGAAAATGTTACTGTATTTGGGCTTTAACTCAGCAAAACTGAAACAGTCCCAAAAATCATGATATAATTGTAAATGAATCACCAT